CCCCCAACAGTCCCCAACAGCCCCCAACAGCACCCCCCAACAGCCAACAGCCGCCCTCAACAACCAACAGTCCCTAACAGCCCTCAACAACCCCCAACAGCCCCCAACAACCCCCAACAGCCCTCAACAGCCCCCAACAGCAAGTATAGGGGAGCTGGAGAATGACAGGCATTCTTGTTCCCATGTCCATCTCAGGAGGCCAGTAATGCTACTGTCATCAATGACCCCTGAGTTGCCCCACAGATGAGCCTTCTCCATCACTGACCTCCACAGGTGAGTGGTCACTGTCATTTCCCCATGAATTCCCTGAGGTGAACAGGCACCGTCACTGCCCCCTGATCCTACAGGTTGGTTCCTGGGTCTCACACAGCAGAGGAAGACAATATAAGCCCCCTTGTGCCCAGAGCACACAAACGACTGTCCCAGTGTCCCTTTAAACCCACGCAGTTCTTCCACAGAGCACATGCTTAATGCACCTCCATCCCCCACAAGACCACATTCTTACCGATAACTTTTCCCAAGAAGAGTGACTTGGGGGAATTGAACAGGGTGTCAGATGTACTTGGCAGCGGGTAAGTCTCTCGAGGGTAGTGATCAAGCTGTGGGAAGAGAAGAAGGCACGTTAAAGCATGCTCTCCTCCCTCGGAGCCACGCCTTCCCGGGGCGTGTGCATACGAGTGCACGCACACGTGGCCACACACGTGAGCACACATGTCCACAACATGGAAGAAAGCATGTGTGCACGTGAGCACAGGAGCATGTGAGCACACCTGTATGAGCCTGTATGAGCTGTGAGCACAGGTGCACGTGGGCATGCTTGTGTGCAAATGTAAGTGTGTGTGAGCATGTCAGCATATATGTGCGTGTGAACATATCAACGTGTGTGAGTGTGTGCATATGAGCACAAACGTGTGTGCAACACTGCACTTGATCCTGTCATCTGGAAACGTAGGTCCTCACAGTGCAGACTCGTGTGGGATCCCCGACATCTGCGCACTTTTGGCTGTACCCAGGCCTTTGCTCCCAGGATGCAAGTGGGGGCTGCTCCAGCTGGTCTCCATGGCGACAGTGGGGACAGAGGCACGCTCACACCTTCCTGCTCGAGCCACTTCAGTGGCAAATTTACAGACAATATCAGCACACATCCACAGAGACCAACACCGATGCAGAGATACAGACACACAGAGACACAAATATGAAGATACGCAGACACACACACAGACACACAGTACCTGTACACACCAGCACGTGTTCATACACGTGTGCACACACAGCACATATACCATCACACTGCACATCTCTACATGTGGATGCATGCAGTCTCCCAGCACGCATGCACACAGCACAGACATGTGTCCCCACACGTGTACACACTGCTTCTGCTCTCAGAGTAAAGACCTTTGTCCCCACTGTTCACTTGCTCTCTGGGCAGTTGAGTGAGCTGGAAGCCTCCGGTCAGGACACTTCCAGGTAACAGCTCAGCTCGTGGGGAGCCACGTCCGTGTCCAAGGTGCAAGTGGAGCTCCCACAAACGGAAGGCTCGAGGACCTCCTGTGGGTGCTCCTGCCCAGGTTCCTCCACGAACTCAGGACACTGTGCTTTCTGTGCACTGTGAGAATCCTGTCACCACACTCATCTCAGGTGAGGCTGGCACCTGAGGTGGGAGAAAGCTGGGGCCCCAGAGGCTGTCTTGGGATGGTGCCACTGACTGGCAGGAGGAAGGGACCAACACCGTGCCCCCACATCTGAGACCCTGTTCGGTCCCCACTGACTACCCTCAGGGGGGCGGAAGGAGGTGGAGGCCAGTACAGGGAGCCCCCTGCCCCGTGCCAGATGACCGTCCACATGAGGCCTGGCAGCCAGCTGCTCTTGTAGAAGACTGGACAGCAGGGGCACAAGAGTGTAGACGGCCACCCGGTGACTGTTCTCCACCAGCTACTGGACATGGTGCACTGAGTGTCCCACAGTCTCCACAGCTGCCACCAGGTCAGACATGTCCTTACAAAGCAGGGCCGGGGGCCTCGGGGACCCCAACCTCTGCAGTCGGCTGTAAAGGACGCTCCCTGCTTCTGCAGTTCGGTCAGCCACACAGCCGCCACCTGGAGGTGACAGAGGCATGGCTGGCACCTGTCGCAGGAGGACATGTGGCCCCACGCGCCACCCAGTGGACTCTCTGCCAAACAACACTCACCATTCACTAGGCTTCTTTAGGAATTAGCAATGACCGGACTCTGAGCTCCGGGCTTTACAAATGGACGGAGACCACACTTGCTCAGTGTAGAAACGGAATGCCACAGATTTTCTGGAAAAAGTGTGCTATGGTAATTAACGTCTGTCAATGTCTGCCTTTCAGGTTTTACGAAGATGCTCTGAGACTCATCCACACGTGCTGTGGGCACTCCTTCGTCCCACTTAACGATGCATTCTGGATCTTGTTCTGCACCAAGAAGCAGCCCGGTGGCGCAGCTCTCAAAGCACTTGGAAGCAAACTGGAAGGCTGGGTTTGAACCAGCTGCACTGAGGGAGGAGAATGTGGCAGTCTGCACTGTGAGCCAATTCAGAGGCTCCCCCAGGCTCGGAGGCTGTGCATCTTTACAAAGGAGACTGTCCACTTGTCTTCCACCGAGTGGATGGTACCTTTCAGTTGGCAGCCCTCCGTGTAATGCACCAGGCCTCCTCTGCAACGTTGTGGTGGTTGTTAGGTGCTTTCGAGTCAGCTATGCTCATGACAACCCCACCACCAGACATCCAAACCTGCCCATCCTGCACCATCTGTAGTCTCGGCTGCGTGTGGACCGTGGTAGGAGTCAGGGCAGCTGTTTGTCTCACTGAAAGTCCTCCTCTATTTCGCTGACCTTTCTAAGCATTCTGTCCTCCAAGGACTGGCCCTTCTGACACAAGTCCAAAGTCCATGAGGCCAGTTTCCTCGTCCTTGCCTCCTTCTGGTAGACTTCAGGGCACTCAGTTCTCTTCCCCACCAGCACAACCCAAAGACTTTTTAATTCTCATAGTTATTGGTTGCCGTTGAGGCAACTACAATTCACCGTGACCCTGTGGACAACGGATCTGGACCTTGTCTTATCCTGTGTCACTGCCACTGTCTCTGCCGCGGTGAGCCTGCTGCTGTGGTCACTCTGCCATCCCAACAATGCCCACTCTGTGGCCTCAGGATCACCCCGTCTGACCTGGGAGATTTGCTGACCCGTTTCCAGAGTTGGACTCCCAGCCAGCTCAGACCGTCTTAGCGTGAAGGGTCCACCCAACATGGAGGATTAGCATTGTCGTCGCAGGTGACGTCCTGAGAGCTGTAACTCCAGCTCACGGCTAACTGAGCTGCAGGAGGAGCCCCTGCGGCCACAGTCCAGAATCTAAGGTGCAAACTCCCTGCAGCTAGAGGCCTGCCTCCCGAGGAAGCTCAGGAGGGGAGAACGGCAAGGACAGAGGAGACTGGAGTCTTCCCACCCACCAGCAGGCACCCAGAGGCCAGAGGCCTGAGCGCATCTGGATTCATCCCAAACCCCAGCCAAACCCCAGCCCAAGGGTGTGGGGCCTGCCTGGCGCATAGGGTCAGCGCCCACTCCTCTGCTCTGGCTGGCTAACCAGGTGAGGGGGCTGAATGCATCCAGAGACCCTGGGTGTGGAGCACACTGCCTCGGGGAGTGATTGACTCACATGGAAGCCCAGGCCCACCACGATGGCATGTGTAGACGTGGAAGGTTCCCGAGAGCTGGCAGCTCAGCCTCACCCCGACCCCCACTTCCAGGCCTGGCACCTCCAGAGTTGGAGAGAGGAGGGTTTGCAGGCCAGATAGCAAGCTTCTCCCTCTTCCATTCAGGCTGGGGTCTTCCTGCCTGGGTCTTGGATCTGGACAAAGGACAGACCTTTACAGATGCCTCTGGGTCCTGTCACTGGGACCAAGGCTTCAGACTCAGTGTAGATGGGAATGGAACTGACCCACAGAGTCATGGTGGGACTGCCTGACACAGAGGGCCCTGTTCTGTTCTGGCCGGACCAGATGCCATGGCCCTGTCTGCTGCTCTGTCCCCAGAGCTGGCACGGTGCCTGGTGCCAAAGACTTGATGCTCCACGTCGACCAGAGGAGTGAGGCAGGTGGAGGGGCCTGGTGTCAGGTCCAAAAGCAGCCGCCATTGGCATCTCGCTTGGCTGTGTGGTCTGGTTGGTCACATGTCAACTTACAGCCATGAGACTAGACTTTTTCCACCCCATCAGCCCACACGATATGACTGGTCCATCTTAGAGGACTACGTGAAGGGGTCTGTCACCTCCCATGGCCCACATGACTGGGGTCCACCTCTGACTGCAGCCCTGCCCCCGGGGAAAGCCAGAGCCAGCCTTCACAGGCCTGGACTGGCCGTGACTCAGTGTCACCCATGCTCTCCACAGTCTCTGGGGGTGGGTCCTCTCTTGTCACTTCCTGGGCTGTGAGAGCATCGTCCCCACCTCTGCCTCCATGGTCACGTGGGGGCTTCCTGTGTGGGCAGTTTCATCAGGACACATTCACATAGGATTAGACCCGCCCAAGCCAGTGTGACCTCAGGCCAGCTTACTGATTATATTAGCAATGACCGATTTCATGAAGCTCACACTCACAGACACAAGACACTGGCGTCTCACCAGATCTGGTGCTCATGACCGTTGTAGTAGAAGTCATCAGTGGCTGTTCTCCACTGGGGTGTGTGTGTGTACTGTGTGGGTATGTCTGTCCTTGAGTGTACCTTGTGCATGTGCTTAGATGGTGTATGTTTGCCTCTTCATGTGCGTCTCTGTGCATTTGTGAGCGGTGTATTTAGGGCCAGGTTTCCATTTGCTGCTCATAGGATCTCCATGAGGTGCAATCAGCAGGACACACTTAACGTCTGCACGTCTGTCCTTGTGTGTGTGTGTGTGTGTGTGTGTGTGTGTGTGTGTCCCACAAATGCTTGACTTGAGAAATAAAGGACGTGAAGGTCATTCTTTTGCTGTGCTATTTCTCCTTCAGTGAGGTCGGGAGGACATCCCCAACCCCTTTGCCTCTCTCTTCCTCCTTCTACATCCCCCCACACCTGCTTTTGGCCATTGAAGACTGTGAGTTATTAAAGTACTGACTCCTACTGTCTCTGCACCATCTTCTGTGGTAATTCAGTCAGAATCCCTGGTCTGCTCTGAGGTGGAGGGCAGCTAGGTCCTGGGTTTGCCATTAGAGAGCTCATGAACTGATATATGGTGTTTTCAGGAAGAAATGGGAGCTCTGGTGGATAAGGGGAGAAGCCGCACTGCCACCTGTCTGCAGAGGTTCAGTGGGGAGAGCTCGGGGGATAAGGGGAGAAGTTGCACGGCCACCTGTCTGCAGAGGGTTCAGTGGG